GTGGGGGGTGGGGGGGGGGAGGGGGAAGCATGGCAGACCCAGAACAGGGAAATCAAACATTTGTCACAGAATTTATTCTCCTGGGATTTGGTGACCTCCCTGAACTGCAGACTTTTCTTTTCATGCTATTCCTTGTGACCTACCTTTTGACCCTGGTTGGAAACATCCTCATTGTTGCCTTGGTGGTGACTGATCAGCAACTCCACACCCCCATGTACTTTTTCCTTGAGAATTTGTCCTTCTTGGAGATCTGCTACACCTCCACCATCCTGCCCAAGATGCTTCTCAGTTTGCTGACAAAAGAAAATGGAATTTCTCTCTCTGGATGTTTCTTTCAATTTTATGTCTTTGCTTCCTTGGCATGCTCAGAGTGTTATCTTTTATCTGTGATGTCTTATGACCGTTATTTAGCAATATGCAAGCCCCTGCATTATGGAGCCCTCATGAATACCAGGTTCCGCATCCAATTGGCAGTAGGATCTTGGATATCTGGATTTATGTCTCCTATCTTCACAACATCCATGCTGGCATCACAGTTGACTTTCTGTGGATCCAACAAAATTGACCATTTTTTTTGTGATTATACTCCATTGTTAGTGCTCTCCTGCAGCAACACCCGCTCAACAGAAATAGCTATGTCTTTCATTGGCTCTGTGTGCACGGTGCCTCCCTTTCTGCTCACCGTGACATCCTATATTTGTATCATTGCCACCATCCTAAAAATTCCTTCTACCACGGGGAGGAAAAAAGCTTTTTCCACCTGCTCTGCCCACCTTCTTGTGGTTACAATATTCTATGGGGCTTTGATGACTGTCTATCTGTTACCTAAAAACGATGTATTAAGAGACCAAAACAAGCTGTTCTCTCTTTTTTACACCGTCCTGACCCCTTTGTTAAATCCCCTTATATACAGCCTGAGAAATAAGGATTTTAGGGCAGCCCTGAGTAACTCAGTCAGTAAATGTGTGCCTTTACTGAGGACTCAAAGAATCCAATCTCTTTTTAATACTGGAACAGAAACAATAAATAAATAAATACTCATGGACATAATGTTTAAACGATCTGTGGTGGTATTTTACAAGCATCATGTCTATTTCTTTGTATTTTATGACTATAATGTTGATCAGTATATGGCTATGTTCTGTGGTTGATCATGTGATGTATCTCTAGAAAGGTTAAAGTTCATTAATAGTAGCCACAGTTAGTTCAGGGCTCCTATATACTATATTTATAAAGTCCTTGTGTTCCTATATACATGCAGGGAGGCTGCTCTGACATGCTCCAGCAGACTCCAGCATCATGTGTATCAGTGTCCCCGAATTGAAAAATGGCAGTGGGGCACTTTAAACTAAAGCTCATTCAACAAACTTTAGTTTGAACTGTGGAGGACATGTAAAAGGAAGTGACCATTTGTAGCAGAGGGTACTGAACAGAAAATGGAAATTCAGGGTTCAGGACACTGGCCAAGACCCAGAGGGTTCCCATAGAAGGTGAAGCAGCAGG